TTACAAGAAGGCCAACTCGGAGTTGTTTTTGAAGACTTCAGCTGATATCCTCTTTATCTGGTTTCCACGCAAGTTTCTACGACAACATTCACATAAGATTCAAAATGGTTTTTTAACGTTTTCTTTACAGTTTGTGCCATATATTTCCATGTTCATTATCATGGTGGGTCCTTGCACAGTAATCGGTTTGTGTTTTACACTATTATCGACATTATTATTCATTTCCACACGATTACGCAATAGGTAATGTAAACCAACCACTCTTTATTCACAACTAGTGCAGGTTTAGCAATACAGAAAATAAATTACCCAGCAAATTTTTGATCTTGTTTTGGCCTAAAAATCTGTAATTTTTTAATAAAACTGCGTCATACCATTACATAAGAACGCATAACGTGTTAAAATACCTATAATGCGAAAGGGAATTTAAGTGTACATAACCTAATCCCTCTCAAGAAGGGTATACCGACTACTGAACTTGTTTGGTTCACGTCGCCGAGGGATATAAACGTGATGGAATCATTCCCAGTCGCTGACATATATATCTTGTTGTACTCTAGATCAGTGGTAAACTAAAAAGTAAGGTTCCTCTTTCAACACGATTGTGGCTTGACTCATTAGTAACTAAATTATTAGGCAACTTGTTGTCGTTCGATAGTATTTGAGTATTTTAGAATTAACAAGAGTTTGGAGAAGGATTTTACAGTAAAAATATATAGGTCGACTATGAACTTTTAGTCTTCCTACTCACAAGTCGAGCAACTCGTTGTTGTTACTGAAGACTCCCGCTGGTAGCTTCTCTATCTGGTTCCCTTCTAAGCTCCTACAAAAAGGATACATGATGGATCTTAGTATGGCATCTTTGAAATGCCATCCAGTTTGATAACAAAAACTATCTGGCTTAAAAGCCTTTTCTCACAAAGTTAGTAAATGACATCTTCGCAAATGGCGGGTGAATCGAGACCAAACTAATAATAGATTTAATTTTTGCTGGTTACTTACAGGAAGCCCAACTCGGAGTTGTTTTTGAAGACTTCAGTTGGTATCCTCTTTATCTGGTTACCACGCAAGTTTCTACGACAACATTCGCATAAGATTTCTTTCTTATGATTTGTTTCGACACGATCACGCAATAGTTAATGTAAAACAACCACTCTTCACTTATAGCCAGTGCAGGTTTAGCAATTCAGCAAAAAAATTACCGGGCAACTTGTTGTTGTTTCTCTACTGGTCAATTACCAGGTTTGCAGTATAAAATTTCTCTTACTAGCACCGGCCATGCAGGAAATCTACCATATGCAAATAAAACAAATAAACTCCAAAAAATAGAATATTTTAGTCATGAAAGCTAAGACCAACAGCCTAACTTGTTGGTTTTGTTTGAAAATTGTAGTGTTTTGTCATTTATTAAAAAAAAAAAGATGTTCCAAAGAGGCGAGGTTACTTCTAGTAGTCCGACACTGCAAATCTACAAACCATTCCAGCCTTTTCCACTGCCTTCATGGTTGGCTGCACACACTAAGGGTGTGGTGTGTAATAATACTTAACACATCAAATGCCAATAGAATCAAAAGCATTGAGATTAGCTGTTTACAGTACGACCAACTGTGGGTTGTTATGAAAGACTCTACGTGATAGCTCCCTATTTGGTTGTGGCCTAAGTCCCTAAAATGGTTGAACAGCTGCTGACATCATCATTTGTAAGCGCTCGTATGGTTGCAATAGGACTTGTTTTGAGGTTCCTACCAATAGTGCTGATGCACGAGCCTCGACATTCGGATAATTTGAACATGTAAATAATCCGTGCACATGTCTATTACATCGCGTTGGTGGATCCTTGTACAGTAATCGCTTTGTGTTTGACACCATTATCGACATTATTGTTCGTTTCGACACGATCACGCAATAGTTAATGTAAAACAACCACTCTTCACTTATAGCCAGAGCAGGTTTAGCAATTGAGCAAATAAATTACCAAGCAACTTTTTTATTTATTTTATCGGCCTAAAAATCTGTAATTGTTGATAAAAGTACGTCATAAGATTACATAAAAACACATAACGTGTTTAAATACCTATAATGCGCTAGGGAATTTAAGTGGACATAACCTAACCCCTCTCAAGAAGGGTATACCGACTATTGAACTTGTTTGCTTCATGTTGCTGCGGGATAAAAATGTGATGGAATCTTCCCCACTAGCTAACAAATATATCTCTTTGTACTCTAGATCAGTGGTCAACTAAAACGTAAGGTTGCTCTCTCAACACGATTGTGGCTTGACTCATTAGTAACTAAATAATTACGCAACTTGTTGTCGTTTGATAGTATTTGAGCATTTAAGAATTAACAAGAATTTGAAGGATTGTACAATAAAAATATGTAGGTCGACTATGACCTTTTAGTCTTCCTAAAGACCCCCGCTGGTAGCTCCTTTATCTGGTTCCCTCTTAAGCTCCTACAAAAAGGATACATGACGGATAGTCAAATAACGAAAATTACTCAGCTAGAGAACCTCTCCAGACAAAGGTAGTAAATGACAAAACTATTTGCAAATGGCGGGTGAATCGAGACCAAACTAATAATAGGTTTAATTTTTATTGGTTACTTATAAGAAGGCCAACTCGGAGTTGTTTTTGAAGACTTCAGCTGGTATCCTCTTCATTTGGTTTCCACGCAAGGTTCTACGACAACATTCACATAAGATTTAAAATGATTTTTCAATGTTTTCTTTGCAGTTTCCACCAAATTTGCTAAGTTCATTATCATATTTCAGTTAGTTTTGCGTTGGATTAATTACGTTGTTTTGGAAATTTTCAATGAGAAATTGTACATCAGTCTGTAAACTGGTCTGCAGTATATGTGCTTACATATATATCTTGTGGTACTTTAGATCAGTGGTCAACTAAAAAGTAAGGTTCCTCTTTCAACATGATTGTGGCTTGACTCATTAGGAACAAAATTATTAGGCAAATTGTTGTCGCTCGATAATATTTGAGTATTTTAGAATTAACAAGAGTTTGGAGTTTGGAGAAGGATTTTACAGTCAAAATATGTAGGTCGACTATGAACTTTTAGTCTTCCTACTCACAAGGTGAGCAACTTGTTGTTGTTACTGAAGACTCCCGCTGGTAGCTCCTCTATCTTGTTCCCTCTTAAGCTCCTACAAAAAGGATACATGATGGATCTTAGTATGGCATCTTTGAAATGCCATCCAGTTTGATGACAAAAACTATCTGGCTTAAAAGCCTTTTCTCACAAAGTTAGTAAATGACATCTTCGCAAATGGCGGGTGGATCGAGACCAAACTAATAATAGATTTAATGTTTACTGTTTACTTACAGGAAGTCCAACTCGGAGTTGTTTTTGAAGACTTCAGCTGGTATCCTCTTTATATGGTTTCCACGCAAGTTTCTACGACAACATTCGCATAAGATTCAAAATGATTTTTCAATGTTTTCCTTGTTGTTTCATTATGAAACTGAGTAGGCTGAGAATCTAATATAACTTTATCTTTATAAGACTGTTTTTTGCGCCTGTATTTTAAAGTTCTAATGTTATAAAATGCTCGATTGTAATGATGTGGAAAGCCAGAAGAAAATAATGAGAAGGCGCACGTTTCTGATCGCGCTTAAGGTCTTCGCTTAAATAAGCAGGCAATTCATGGGGATACAAGGGCGTACAATACTCTCTGGACACCAGCCTAGTGAAGTTAAGGTACATAAAAGCACATAATATCATGAGCCGGAACATTCTCACGCTTCAGCAAGATCAAGAAATGCATGAGCTTATTGGCCCTTAACAATTTCATTGAAGTTTATCAGACGTGGTTACCCCTAATATGTGATTTGGGCAACAAGTTCAAGTTCCTTGGAGTTGACGGTTACGGCGTCGAACTGGTGTTGGTTCTCTTGAAGTCAATAATCAATTATTTGCACTCATCTGAGTTCATCTGGGGATTTTTGCAAGCCGACGACTGCTTTACTGCTGCATGTTGCAGCGCTTTGGATTGCTAAAGGCTTGTATTTGTAGTCACACTATGGCTATTGCGGGGCCCAATGACCATATAGGCTCAGCCGGACTTACGAACAGAAACAGGCGAAGTACTGTAAAAATATTTGGAAGCCAACGTTTAGACGAAACGTGCCGCAGAATAAACAAGTTTTACAACTACTGTTCGCAGAAAACTATTCACTAGTCTAGTTTTCAAAAATTTGTTTTTAAAATTTTTCGAAACATTTTTTTGAAATTAATTTTAAAAATTTCCAAAATGGGTTTGAACTTGATAGTTCGGCAGCTGAACGCATGGATATATCACCGCGTAACTTCTCAAAATTATTGTCTTATTGTAAATTAGCGGGTAAATTTTGTTTTTATCTGGTTTCAAGACTCACATAAAATTTATAACGATTTTTCAACGTTATCTTTGCAGTTTGTGCCATATTTTTCCAAGTTCATTATCATTTTTCAGCTAATTTTGCGTTAAATTTATCGCGTTGCTTTGGAAACTGACAGAAAAAAAGTGTACATCAGTCAATTACCAGGTTTGCAGTATAAAAAAGAAATTTCTCTGACTAGCACCGGCCGTGCAGGAAATCTCCCATATGCAAATCAAACAAATAAACTCAGAAAAACAGACTATATAATGGTGAAAGCTAAGACCAACAGCTAACTTGTTGGTTTTGTTTGAAAATTGCAGTGTTTTGTTATTTATTAAACAAAAAGATGTTCCAAAGAGGCGAGGTCACTTCTAGTAGTCCGACACTGCAAATCTACAAACCATTCTAGCCTTTTCCACTGCCTTCATGGTTGGCTACACACACTAAGGTTGTGGTATGTAATAATTCTTAACATATCAAATGTCAATAGAAGTAAAAGCATTGAGATTAGTTATTTACAGTACGACCAACTGTGGGTTGTTATGAAAGACTGGTACGTGGTAGCTCCCTATTTGGTTGTGGCCTAAGTCCCTAAAATGGTTGAACAGCTGCTGACATCATCATTTGTAAGCGCTCGCATGGTTGCAATTGGAGTTGTTATGAGGTTCCTACCAATAGTGCTGCTGCACGAGCCTCAACATTCGGAGAATTTGAACATGAAAACAATCTGTGCACATGTGTATTACTACTCGTTGGTGGATCCTTGTACAGTAATCGCTTTGTGTTTGACACCATTACCAGCATTATTATTCGTTTCGACACGATCACGCAATAGTTAATATAAAAAAAAACCACTCTTCACTTATAGCCAGTGCAGGTTTAGCAATTCAGCAAATAAATTACAAGGCAACTTTTTGATATTGTATCGGCCTAAAAATCTGTAAATGTTGATAAAAGTTCGTCATAAGATTACATAAGAACACGTAACGTGTTTAAATATCTATAATGCGCAAGGGAATGTAAGTGTAAATAACCTAACTCTTCTCAAGAAGGGTACACCGACTACTCAACTTGTTTGGTTCATGTCGCCGAGGAATGAAAACTTGATGGAATCTTCCCCACTGGCTAAAAAAAATATCTTTTGGTACTCTAGATCAGTGGTCAGCTAAAACGTAAGGTTACTCTTTCAACACGATTGTGGCTTGACTGATTAGTAATTAAATTATTAGGCAACGAGTTTGGAGAAGGATTTTACAGTAAAAATATGTAGGTCGACTATGAACTATTAGTCTTCCTACTCACAAGTTGAGCAACTTGTTGTTGTTACTGAAGACTCCCGCTGGTAGCTCCTCTATCTGGTTCCCTCTTAAGCTCCTACAAAAAGGATACATCATGGATTTTAGTTGGGCATTTTTGAAATGCCTTCCAGTCAGATAACGGAAACTACTCAGCTAGAGAACCTCTCCACACAAAGGTAGTCTAGAGAAGAATTTTACAGTGAAAATATGTAGGTCGACTATGACCTTTTAATGTTCCTACTCACAAGGTGAGCAACTTGTCGTTGTTACTGAAGACTCCCGCTGGTAGCTTCTCTATCTGGTTCCCTTCTAAGCTCCTACATGATGGATTTTAGTTGGACATTTTTGAAATGCCTTCTAGTCAGATAACAAAAACCATCTGGCTTGAAAGCTTGTTCTCACAAAGTTAGCTAAGTGACATAACTCTTCCTAAATGGCGGGTGAATCGAGACCAAACTAATAATAGATTTAATGTTTATTGGTTACTTACAAGAAGGCCAACTCGGAGTTGTTTTTGAAGACTTCAGCTGGTATCCTCTTTATCTGGTTTCCACGCAAGGTTCTACGACAACATTCACATAAGATTTAAAATGATTTTTCAACGTTTTCTTTGCTGTTTCTGCCATATTTTTCCAAGTTCATTATCATTTTTCAGCTAGTTTAGCTTCGTAAACCTAAACATGTGAAATAACCGATTTAAGAGAGGATTTCAGCATCCATTGAACAAATTTGAAATATTTTGGCAAGTCGACCAAAATTCGTTTTCTCTCTTACTTTCATATTTTGTTGCCCAATATGTTCTAATAATTGTGGTGTAGTTTTTTTGCGAAAATATTTTTTAATTTTCGAGAAATGACTTTTTTCGTTCGGCCGCTCAAATATGCAAATTTTCACCGTGAATATTACCCGAGTTGTGTGACCTCATGTAACGAATGTACTGGACCTACGGTATTTCTGTGAACATAATCCTTTGTTTTATCATCTAAACTTAATCCCTTGTTGTTATCGAAGCTGCCAAGGAAATATTTATTTTTTGGTGAATATTTTTGTCCGACATCCTTTTCCTATGTCGAAAAGTAGCATCAAAACAAAGACAGTTTTAACAATGACCGATATGACACAATCTATTGAGCTTCAAGCTTTTAAAAGACCAAAGGATGGTTATAAAGTTACTATAAAAATTTCATTGTGTATTTGCGTTGTTCTATCTTGAGATGAACTCAAAGTCCGGCAAAATTTACTTGATAGCGACTATGAAATGTACATGGTGCGCCTACTTGTCGCCACCGTTAATTGGCATAAATCACTACAATTTGTAAAAAAGTCTAACATCTAATTATTTCTCGAAAATTAAAAAATTGGGCTACAAAATATAAAAGTAGGAGGGAAAAAAATTTGGGTGACTTGCCGCTGTTTGTTTGATGCATGCTGACATTAGCTCTTAAGAATGCTACTTTTCACTTACAGCTCTCGCAGCCTGACTAACTGAGAAAATGAGTCACCTCGCAACTTCTTTATCTTGTTGTAATCTAATCGCCTGAAAGAAATTATTTAAACTATTTCAAACCATCTCATGAGTAAGTGTCACCCCAGTATCGATAAACAGATTGAAGGGGTGGGTGGGAGGGAAGGGATGAAGTCTCAAAGCTGGGATCTAATAGAAGATAAAACTTCAAGTCGATTGCGTTATGTGTTGCCCATATGCAAATAAAACAAATAAACTCAGAAAAATAGAATAAGACCAACAACCTAAAAAGTAGTAAAAAATGAAAAAAGACCAACAACCTAACTTGGTGGTTTTGTTTGAAAGTTACAGTGTTTTGTCATTTATTAAACTAAAAGATGTTCCAAAGAGGCGAGGTTACTTCTAGTAGTCCGACACTGCAAATCTACAAACCATTCCACCCTTTTCCACTGACTTCATGGTTGGCTACATACACTAAGGGTGTAGTATGTAATAATTCTTAACACATCAAGTGCCAGTAGAAACAAAAGCAATAATTTTACTTACTTACAGTACGACCAACTGCGAGTTGTTATGAAAAACTTAAGGAGGTAGCTCCTCTATTTGGTTGTTGTCTAAGTCCTTAAAATGGGGATATGTCCTGCATTTAGGTTGAACAGTTGCTGACATCACCATTTGTAGGCGCTCGAATGGTTGCAATAGGAGTTGTTTTGAGGTTCCTACCAATATCGCTAAGGCACGAGCCTCGACATTCGGAGAATTTGAACATGTAAATAATCCGTGCACATATCTATTACTACATGTTGGTAGGTCCTTGCACGATAATCGGTTTGTGTCTTACACTATTATCGACATTATTATTCTTTTTGACATGATCACGCAATAGTTAATGTAAAACAATCACTCTTCACTTATAGCCAGTGCAAGGTTTAGCAATTCAAAAAATAAATTACCAGGCAACTTTTTGATAATTGTTTCGGACTAAAAATCTGTAATTGTTGATAAAACTGCGCCATACGATTACATAAGAACTCATAACGTGTTTAAATACTAATAATGCGTAAGGGAATTTAAGTGGACATAACCTAACTCCTCTCAAGAAGGGTATACCGACTACTGAACTTGTTTGGTTCACGTCGTAGACGGATATAAATGTGATGGAATCTTTCCCATTCGCTGACAATTATATCTTGTGGTACTCTTGATCAGTGGTCAACTAAAAAGTAAGGTTCTCTCTCAAAACGATTGTGGCTTGACTCATTAGTAACTAAATTATTAGGCAACTTGTTGTCGTTCGATAATATTTGAGTATTTTAGAATTAACAAGAGTTTGGAGAAGGATTTTACAGTAAAAATATATAGGTCGACTATGAACTTTTAGTCTTCCTACTCACAAGTTGAGCAACTTGTTGTTGTTACTGAAAACTCCCGCTGGTAGCTCCTCTATCTGGTTCCCTGCTAAGCTCCTACAAAAAGGATACATCATGGATTTTAGTTATGCATTTTTTTAAATGCGTTCCAGACACATAACAAAAACTACTCGGCTAGAAAACCTTTTTCTCACAGAGTTAGTAAGTGACATAACTCTTCGAAAATGGCGGGTGAATCGAGACCAAACTAATAATAGATTTAATGTTTACTGGTTACTTACAAGAAGGCCAACTCGGAGTTGTTTTTGAAGACTTCAGCTGATATCCTTTTTATCTGGTTTCCAAGCAAGTTTCTACGACAACATTCACAAAATGTTCAAAATGATTTTCAACGTTATCTTTGCAGTTTGTGCCATATTTTTCCAAGTTCATTATCATTTTTCAGCTAGTTTTGCGTCGAATTTATCGCGTTGCTTTGGAAATTGCCGGAGATAAATTGTACATCAGTCAATTACCAGGTTTGCAGTATAAAAAAAAATTTCTCTAACTAGCACCGGCCATGCAGGAAATCTCCCATATGCAAATAAAATAACTAAACTCAGAAAAATAGATTACATCATCGTGAAAGGTAATATTATTCGAGGATCTTTCACACAACAAAGACGTTTACCTAAAAGTAAATCTCAGCTAATTGTCCAATTTGCTTGATGCTAACTGAATTTCAAGAATCGTTCTTATTTAGCCTTTTTTAAAATAAAATAAAAGAAACTTTCCACTATTTCTATTTAATTAATGATGTACATACTCATAATCGAGAAGAGCGGTTTTGACAAGGCAATATTAAAAGCTAGAATAGTGAAGCGAATTTGAAAAATTCTCTCTAGATGTTATAAACTACTAAAATCACGTAGCCAAAAAATGTCACATTAAAATCGTCGGTAAAATTTGGAAATTCGGTTCGTTTCTATAGCTATGTTTAAGTTGCAAACAATTAACATGTAAAAGGCCTGTGGCTTTAAATATTCTCTGACAGAAGTCTGTTCAAAGGGCTCTTTACCTCACTTCAGCGGATGACTCTCTTCCATTTACTTTGTCAAAATATCAGTGACTTCTAACACTGACAATGACGGTCATTTTCACCATTAGAGATGTTAGAAGAGAACCTTTTTTCCGAAAACGTATGTTAGATTCTTCCTAGTTTTCCTTATAATTCTGAGGCCAAGTTTGATGCCAAGCCTACTCCGGCCACCTGCTCCGGCCACCTCCTAAAAGCCTAAAATAAGGAGAGTTAAAACGCTTACAATTTCGCTGTAGAAAAGGGCAAGTGCCGTGGAACTGACTGTAAGTGTTTTCCTCGACACTCAATGCGAGTAGCTGTGCCTATGATTCCAACTGCAATTGTACATCGGCAGGGATCTGGGCACCCTAAAATAAAGCAAGACGATATAAATGTACTGACTGAAAGTTAATGAGGCTCTTTAGTGGTACTCTCTGAATGTGTGCATTAGAATACTTTGAAATGATAGCTGCCATCTAGTTATCTCGTGAACGCTTCATACCATTCCAGTGTAAGACAAAATAAATATGTCATTGGGTCGAGCAGCTGCACCACAGTTTCTTTTAAAACTTACTCCACTTAATTTTTTTGTGAAAAAAAAACTCACTTTCAATGACAAGACGGATTTCTTCCTTGTCAAGATCATCGTGTTTCTTCACTTCACAGCTGTACTTGTCGTTGTTTTCTTCAGTAATGGTCAATTGATATTTGATACTTGTACTGTTCTGTACCATGATGCCGTTCTTTCTCCAAACTATAAATGGTGCTGGTGCACCCTGCGCTGGACACCAAAGAGATGAAGTTTGGTTAAAAAGAACAAATTGAATTTTGGCCACCTTGTCTAGGTTGGGTTCAACTGGAAGAAAACAAATAAATGAAATTACCAAATGAGTTGGAGTACTCGTAATTGCTATCTATTCCTTCCGTGTTGCGACCACTTATTAACATTTTAGAATTGTTTCAGTTAGTAATTTCAGAGGACAATACCTGTAAAGTTGAGTGTTTTGTTGGTGTAAGAGCCCCGAAACCAGCCAAAATCATCGAAAAGATCTGATTTTCTGACCCACAAGTTCTGTCCACTGGATCGAACAATAACAGAAATGTTCCCTCCACAAAATACACCAAGAAGATTGGCAGACTTCTTGTATCCATCACGAACCTCAAGATACATATTATCAATGCATGGTGTTGCATGTGAAGTCCCCAAGCTGAAATTCAATTCCACATAATGTCCCTTTGGAGCCTGCAAAAGGTTACTTGAGCGGAACGATGGAACAACTCTCTGAAGGCGTACTTCCGCTATAAGCGCAACTGCAAAATCAAGAGAAAACGAGAGAAGAAAGTGGGAGATTCCTCGCCCTTATCTTGAGAGAAGTCAATTTCACCAAAGCTATTGAAAGGTAATATTAAATGGTAAGAAGCTTTCGCGTGCTAAGTGGAACAACACAAATGCACAATGAACTTAACCTCAGTTGTCCTAAGCTCTTGGATATCGTTATTTAGGTATTGCTTTCCATAGGATACGCATCTGATCCTTTCCTACCATGTTTTGGTTTGCAATTGAGATTTTACAAATGAAATTTTAATCAAACGCCTTTTTGACAGACGTACTGTTTCCATATCGAAAGTAAATCACATAACTACGAGGGCGCGCGTTTGATTCCGAACAAGAACAAATAGAAGGGTAGAAGTTTCTTTTAAGCGTAAAAGATGAGGCGCGTTTTTTTTTTTTAACGATTTTAGAGATGATTATTTTTTTGTACAACTTAGTCAGTGAAAATTGAATGAATAGAATCGATAATTTTTTTGCATTTTTATCATCTGCACTGAATAGTAATATCACAATATAATAATATTGATAATTATAATATCACTTGCGCTGAATTATAATCATATAACCATGTCACGGACGTGGTCTGTACCTCACGTGTTAAGTCGTGTTTCCCAGAGAGAAACGAAGATCGGACTCGACAAAGAGGCGGAAATCAACTTCGATACTGTGTTGTCTCATAATTTACCAGAGGTTGGAAACGTCAGTTTAATAATTCTCTCTAACAGAGGCTCTCCGCCGCATTTTCTTAGTGCACGTGTCACTCGCCATCTCACGAGTGCATCCTATGTAGGCCTGAATATTTTCGTTACATAAGCGGTATTCACGTGTTGACAAAAACCAAAAGGTAACGATTTCTAAATTTGATATTCTGTTTAAAAAAACAACAGTGCTTACAGAAAGCAATACTGAAGCCCCAGAGGATCATTCTAGACGCTATCTTCCCGTTTTCAGCTGTTGGACACAGGGGAAGTTTGAATATTAAAGGTGAGTTTAAGAATTTGATTAAATAAGACTTTTTTTTGGCGGGTTAGGTGCCTTGTATGTTAGTTGAATAATCATAGATCAAAGATACCGAGGCTGTTTACCTCAAAAAGTATTGGAAAACGACAAGATGCAGCTGTATCACAAAGTGCATATTATTTTTTCAAGACACCGCTGCGCTTAACTGAGGCTTTAAGGAGAACTTCCTGAATCACATTCTAGTGCACTTGATAAAAAGAACAATTTACTACAGTTTAAAAATGTTCTAACACCAGAAAGGTGAGGTTATAAAGGGATTCTTTTAAAATTTACTTCCCGTCTGCCTTTACAGTTACATTTTCTCCAATGATATGATTCCGCAGATGGTTCGTCTATTCTTACCTGTATTTCCGCTTCTGTGAAGGCGCCAATAATAAACGTGTTACTGTTATTATCCCAGCGAAGAAAGTCTAAATAATAATTAAAAAGTGGTATGCGAAGAAGCAATAACTTATCCTCCCTTTTCTAAGGCTTAAGCGCAGGACTTGATGGCAGATCTTGTAACTATGAATTTCTTTATCAGCCCTTGAAATAAAAAGAATATATTTAGTAATTCATAACTGCCTTGTTTGAATATTGAGGAAATGAAAATAATCGTTTGTCCTTTAATATTCAAAGATCCGCCCTTTACTCGGTTTATTGTGTCATATTATAGTGATGTTTAATCTTATTTCTTCTTGTATCGACCTTTTAAACTTAAATAAATAAATAAATAAATACCTGAAATGTATTTTCGCTTCTCCCTCTCTTCGATTCAGATCGAGCGGCCTTTAAATAGCAATGAACTCATAAACAGAAAGCCGCCTTTTCCAGATCATTATCTTAGAATAAATATTTTCACGACAGCCCTGTCCATTCATTCCAAGTTACTATGGGTACACATTCTCTAACATCTGTGCAGCAATTGTGCTTTTAGCCAGTTTTGAATTTTTAGAAATATAATCGACATGATGTGAGTCACCAACACATTATTAAAGAAACATTAATCTGACAAACAAAAAGAACAACATTTTATCGAAAATCTTCTAAAATGTAAAATGCTGTAAGTGCTCGAAAAATTCTACCCCCTCCCCCTCCCCTCGAGGAGGATGGTTTTTCCGGGAAGTGGTCTGATAGGAGATCACAGAATGTGCCTTAAAGGGGACAAAAGTGGTGAAACCGGGTATCTGCAAATTCCTTAGGGATAACCATATCGAAATTAAAAGGGAAAGCTCAATACCAATTGATTGTACGTACTTTACTATTTCAATCTGACAAGCGTTAGACCGATATTTAACAGTTATTCATTGAAGTGGAGGTCAATAGTGGTGGATATTTGCCTGGCCGCAAAGCGGTGAGGTAAATATTCACAACTTTTAATTGTTTTGGTATATACAAAACAGAAAACAAAAAATATATTCCCGTCAATATATCAAAAAAAGTGTTAGAAATTAAATTGCTAACGCGCAAATTTGTCACTTTGGCTGCCCGGAGGTGAGTACTATTTGCTAATCACTTCAATCAGCGCACGCAAAAAGTACTTGTCACCTGTGTGGTATATACTAATACCTTTTATGTTTTATTACATTCGTGGCTCTAATAAAAGACTCGATTCAATATTGACAAATACACAGGACAAAAAAGGTATACCGTACCGTCCCTCCCTCCCACCTACGAAGATGCCCTGTTATCTCTACCTCTATCAGATTCGATAATGTTTTTTTTTGTTTTGTTTTTGTTTGAACCGGTTTCTTAAGAATTTTTAACTGAGACATCTCTGTGCGACAGTACGAAAAATGCACCTCTGGGCTCGGAATTTGTTCAGTCTTTAGGTCAGTGGACTTTTTTTTCCTTGTAATTTGGTTCACAAAGTGTCAACTTCAGCACTGATCACACAAGTATATCTATTGCACTAGAGTCTAGTGCAATAGATATACTAGCATGCTTTGATCATTCTAAGGGTAGTAGAAGTGCAATCCAAAGCGCTGTAAAAGCGTTAGAGCAGTGGTCTGCTTACAACATCTTCAGTTGAACTCAGAGAAGTGCAAAGAATTGATTATTGACTTCAAGAGAACCAACACCTGTTCGACGTTGTAACCGTCAACTCCAAGGAACTTGAACTTGTTGCCCAAACCAAATATTAGGGGTAACCATGTCTAATACCTTTAAATGAAATTGTCACGTCTCTGATGTAATCAAAAGGGCCAATAAGCTCACACATTTCTTGATAATGCTGAAGCGAGTAAATATTCCGACTCATGATATTATGTGCTTCCATATTACCTGCATTAGGCCGGTGTTTGAGTGTTGTGCGCCCTTGTATCCCCGTGCATTGCTGTTTATTTAAGCGGAGACCTAGAGCGTGTTCAGATAATGAAGAACCATGTTCGTATTTACATTGACATATACTTTGCGCTATTCTCCTGGCTACTGTCAATAAATGACAGAATCACTTTTAAGTTAAAAACTCAAACTTCCTTTCCAAGTTAATCCTATCTAACGGCTAGTCACCTCTCTGTCGGTGGCTAATGGCTAGCCACCGACAATACAAGGTTATTTGGAGTTTGAGTTGCCAATCAGAGAGCACCTACAGCGCTATCCATTGTTTTAGTATAGACCAATACACGATAGCTAATGCTCAAAATAATTATGTTAAAAATTATTTAACTAGTATCATACAGTAGCAAGCAGCAACAAATCAAGTGTATCATCAAAGTTGTAATTTTTGTAACGACGAAATGTCGTAGGGAACTACCCATCGAGCATACCTCACTTGGAGAAAAGCACATTTAATTTAATTAATCGGTTCTCCAGTACATAATTCTTCTTACACCCCAGCTTTTTTTATTCTTCGTAACTCTGGTTAATCTCCAAGTCTCTCAAACTTTAATTCTCACCGAGAACTTCTTCTTCGACCGCAGATTTCTGACTCTACTCTTTCGCACACTGTCTACCCTCTTCTAGTCTACTCTTCTGTCTCTTCAATCTCTTCTAAGTAAACTGTGAAGAACTTGCCTATATACTCACTACTATGGTGGCCCGCAAGTGTCACTGCTGCACACTGTAAAACAAACACCTTCCTGAATAAAGACTTGCTTCCTCTGAAATTGTTCTTATTTTCCATGCAAGTGTAAGCCTTTTACACGGAAATTGCCCTCCTCTGAAGAAATGAACCCTCTCCGTAGAAATCAGCCTTCTCCTTAAAAATGAGCCTTCTCCTTAGAAATGGGCCTTCTCCGTAGAAATCAGCGTTCTCCTTAAAAATGAGCCTTCTCCTTAGAAAAGGGCTTTCTCCGTAGAAATCAGCTTCCTCCGTAGAAAGCAGCCTTCCTCGTAAAAATCAGCCGCCTCCGTAGAAATCAGCCTTATCCGTTGAAATCAGTGTCCTCCGTAGAAATCAGCCTCCTTCGTAGAAATCATCCTCCTCTGTAGAAATCAGCCTCCTCCGTAGAAATGAAGATAAATCAAAGAACTGGTACCTAGCACCCAGGCTTCTCTCTGATAGCTGCTACCTTTCCCGCCATATTTAATAATGACGAACTTTTGCAGCTCCTGTGGCGAAAATCTGGGCCAGTATTCCACGCCGAATTATTGGCACGAAATTGCAGGCAGGTTAGTGATCGTATCTTTTTTTGGCTTTGTTTGAAATGTTCCTGCATATTTTATATAAAGCCTGATGAACGATGATCGAGTAGGCCAATTAGCCTGCTCCAAGCAAGAGGCATTAACACCACATATTTCAGGTATTACATTTCAGTGTAGCTTGGTTTGGGTGTTGTCCCTGAAAAGCCCTCATGGGAAGTACAGCGGTCAATGAATATTATTTTGTCAGTAGTGTGTTGTTGAGGCCTTGAATCGTTGCTTTATTGTTACAGTATTAATTTAATTAAAAGGAAAGACCAATAAACATAATCCGGGTGCACAATAAATTCTATTGATTTAACGTATAAAATGTTCATATTTCGAAATATTTATCGTTGTAAATCGACCATATTTCGTTCCCCATGCTATTCCTTATAACACATTCCAATTCTCAACGGTTCCTTCCATAAGTTAACACCGAGTCACACAACATGTGACACTTTCATGAATTAATCGTTTGCTTTTTATCGAGACGCGAGCTTGGGACGCCTTTGTTCATACGAATCTGTACTCGAACTATCGCAAGAAGCCTTGTACCACTCTGCTGTTTTTCTTTCGATATATTAACGAGTAAAGTTAGAAATTAACCAGGCGCTAATCTTGGTTGGTCGATGGGGAGTCTTAGTTCGCGGTAAATTCAAACTAAAAGTAGACTTGTCTGTGAAAACGCCGTGACAAAAATACAGGGCAGTTGAAGGTTTCAAGTGATGAACAAGAACAATAAGAACAATTTCACAGAGGGAGAAAGTTTTTATTCAGGAAGGTGTTTGTTTTACAGTGTGCAGCAGTGGCACTAGTGAGCCACCGTATATGAAAAACTCAATGAAAATGTCCAGCTTTGAAAGATACCGCATCAGTATACATTTTTTCTGATTGAAAAATTTACTTCGTTTTTTAAGAGAAAGTGGGGGAACCAACTTATAAGAGAGTGTGAGGCAGTGCCCTTTTTCTGTCGGAAAAAAACATATATACCCATTAAATACGAAGGAAACCTGAGATTACTTGTGGTGGGTGACATCACATCTGAGAGGAACACGTACCATTAGTCGCTTCGTACTTAAAAAAATTCATTGAGGGCCTAAGCATAATCGCAGTCGCTCTGACGCCATCGTGATTAATATGAATTTTAATAGTTATTCAAGTTTGGTTATAATATAATTTTTTATCATTCCTGTTGTGCTCTATTTTTTCTTTCTTTTTAATGGATCTCTTCGACCGAGAAAAAGCAAGAGTAAAAAAAAATATCAATTTCATTTGTTCTCTTTTATTTTATGTATATGTTCTGTACATTTCTATGAATATAATGAGCCTGACCATTTGGTCGCTGCAAATATCCAAGTATACAAAATAAACACAACTTCAAATAGCCAAGGTGTTTTTGATCCCTCTCGTTATTTTTATTTTTATCATAATGATTACAGTAACAATCCAGTTAAATACAGCATTTGTATTATTATGTAATTACTAACAAATAATTTTTTAAATCAACCTCTATGAACTCAATGGTGCTACTATAACTTGCACCTTCTTTGATATGCCAATTTATCAATTTGCTAAAACTTCACCCATTAAAGTTTCATATCCCATATAAGCACATAGATTATTATTTTTGTTTTTAATGAGGGTCAACTTGTTAGATAATTCAATGAGCTAGAAAGCATGCATTTTCTGAACTCTGCAGAAAATATAAAGAAAAACCTGGTATTGTTCTAATAATGAAGCACATAACCAAGCAGGAAAAATGAGCAAGAATTAAATCAAAACTCTCGAAAACCACTTTTGAATCTCTTGTCACGGTATATTCTTATAGACAGAAAGAATATTATACTGCTACAAACCGAACTACGTTGTTAAACAATGTGTGAAAACGCATGTTTACTAAGAATCGACTCCTTCAGGCAATACAGTGATTATCTTCTACAAACCACTACAGACTCTACCTTCTTCTCCGCCGATTCAAACTCCCTGTTTCTTTCCAATTCCCTTTAAATGCACATCTTTGAAGTGCATCACAGTAGCTCTATCTCACGTTATAGCTTGAAATGCACAAATGCTCCTAGATTACTGAATTCCTTAACGTATTCTACAACATTCCGTAAGCCTACCACACTACTATTCTGGTAGAATTACATCATAATCACATAATCTGATATATCCAAGTCACCGTGAGCAGGTATTCTAAAAATTTCCGGAAACTTCTATTTCATAATTACTTCCCATAACAGTTCTTGGTATTAAATCCTTTCGTTAAGCCAATTGACATATCTTATCGTGTTGGGGATGTTTTTAACACAGCCAAAGATCACAAAATTAGCAAAACAGTTTTTTTCTAACTCGAGCATCTTATACGCTTAATAAAAAAAACGAGATTGTGGATTTCTAATTGCCATTTCTTCTTGTTAAATTGCTTAGAACTCCTTACAGTTTTGTGTCCTCTTCAAAAGTGTGTTCTTCAAGGACAGCTTCGGTAGCCGAAGGTGACTTTCGACGCGTTGAAAATCTTGATTTTTTCCCTCGTCTGTAAAAAAAAAAAAGAACAAAACAAAAAGCAAAACAAGGAAAAAGAAAAGAATTACTCAATCGCTATTATCTTGCAAAAAAATCATTTGTGTAAAAAGCCCCGTTCTGTCATTTACTCAGTCAGTCAGTCAGTCAGTAAAACAGACTGTCAATCAATCTTTTGGTTGGCCGCTAAGTTGGGCACACACATAGCAGTCAGTGAAACAGTCAATCAGTTTCTCTGGCGATTGACCAGCATTCGTTCAGTCAGTTGGTCAAGTAGTCAGTTGGTCAAGTAGTCAGTTGGTCGGTTGAAAAGTTGCTCAGTCATTTTGGTAAGTAAGTCAAACAGTCTGTCAGTCGGCTGGTTCATCAGTGAATAGGGAAGTTAGTGAATCAGTCAGTCAGTAATGTAAGTCCGCTAGGGACAGTCACTCTTTCAACCGTTTAGCCAGTAGGTTAAGGAGCTTCCTGGTGGGCAAATAAGCCAGTAATTAAAATAATTCAGCGGTTAGTTTGGCGTTGACAACGTCCGTCAACTTTGTGATACGAACAGGATGTCTCTCTCAAGGAAAGTGAACTTGTGTATATCCCGCTGCTCACCACTTACTTCTTTTCGGTGGAATGCCTGAATTTATCGTCTCCTTTTTTCAAACTCTGGTTCCGTTTTCCTAACATGAAAAGAACAAAGTATAAAAACAACATCTATTTGATGAGGTACTTAATACGCTGTGGCAACTGCTTAACTTGACGCGAAAGAAGAGGATATAATAATGATAGGACTCATCGAAATGCGCACCAGAACATTGCCCTCTTTGCCAAACGAACCCAAAGCCAAATTAAAACGGATAAAAAACCCGAAATACGTTGCTTTCGTGGTCGTGACATTGCATTCACCAGGTATCAAACACTTGTAATATTACACGTAATCGATGGATGTCAAACTTAGGGATTTCTTTAGTGTGTTGTCATTTTCATCTTTTGCTTGACAATTTGTTGAAAGAATTGCTTAGGAATGTTAAAGCTTCCAAATAAGAATTACATGAGTCTATATGCAACCTATTATGGAAAATCTCAACTTATTGCACCCAAATTTCGCTCATTTGCATTAAAGAATTTTATCTCTTAATCTTCTTTGAGGATAATTGATATTCTTTGACTTGACCACCAGTTTTAGGGGTAAGAAAGCTAGCTGAGAAATTAAAAGCTACTTTATTCAGAGCTTAGCAATGCGTGAGGGAGGTAATGAGATTCTTAACTGATCGATACACAGGAGAGCTTGACAGTCCTTAGAAGGTCCGTCCATTTCTAATACAGCAACACTGGATAAGTTGTCAAACAAACAAAGAATAGCGACCAATTTTCTCATGGAAATGATAGGCTATAGATTTTTAATAAAGAAGGTAAGACAAGTTACCTTGATTTGGATCAGCATACGCAATAGGTTCCGGCTCGATTCTTTCGGCTTCATCAAGTCCTCCTTGAAACAAAAAGGTAAATACTGTCATTCTTTTGTGTTTTAGACTAATAAACAATATTGTACCTTATTCTCCATTATCTTAGTATCGGTGATTGTTTCAGAATCAAGTTAGACTATTTTTTTTTCTGTATTTCAGATAATGACAATGACTGGAGACAAAGAAATTTTTCAAAACTTTTAAACCTGACAAAATTGTCTTAGAACACGAGATTCGTAGAATTTAGAACTAACGCAATAAACGATGAATGTTGGATAACTATAATGATGTAAATTAACTTTATCGATTTGTGTCTATGAGAATATCCAGCTGTTCCAGATCCCTCCAGAGGTACAGAAAAAATAAAAACTACAATTAATACAACATATTGTAGAGTCTTGGCAATATAAACTAACAGAACAGCAATGAAAACTTCTGTACGGAACTGTTGTTTATATAAAGATGACATAAGAGGAGAAACTTTAGCCTACCCTGTTGTGAATGACGCACATCAACATTTGCCACTTCGATAACTACACCCTCGACTTCCCCTTGAAAAAAATATTAAATAAAACATATAGTCAGAGATTGCCACTGTGTTGTCATTCTCAGTTTTCATGATGTCCGTACTGTGTTCTTTAAAAAGAAAAAATGTCTTACCTCCCAAGCCGCCATGTTGTTCAATGTCTTCCATGCCCTGTTGGTTCAGTTGTTCTCCATCTCCTTGGCCTTTTTAAAGAAAGCAAAGAAAAAAATGGTGAACGAGCCAGAAAACAAATAAGAAATTTTGTAACGAACGCAGAACGAGATTTACAATTTCAAACTATTAAAACGTAATGGACAAGAAAGATTGGGTAATTAAAATGATAATAGTAAACTTTATGTGTGTGTAAAGAAATATCCTAAAGTCACAGTTCCTTCAGTTATAGAGGACACATTACAAAATCACCAGAGGTACAATATAAACTAACAGAATAGCATTGAAAACTTGACATTGAATTAGAAACTCTAGCCTTACCTTGTTGTGGATGATTCACACCAACACTTGCCAGTTCAATTTCTTCACCCTCAATTTCTCCTTGAAAAAAGAGAGTAGATAAAAAATGTACACAGACTAACCCTGTGCGCTTAGTTGAAATTTTCATGATATGTTAATTGACACCTAAAAGATTTTTACCTCCATCGCCGCCATGTTCTTCATTGTCTTCCATTCCGTGCTGGTTCACTTGCTCTCCCTCTCCTTGGCCTTTATAAAGAAAAAAAAAACACGAAAAGAGGTTTATGAAAAAAACAAACAGGAAACATACAAATAATAGAGAGAACGAAAGTACTAACAAACGAAAGAAGGAATGGGTTCTAGAATTTGAGATTAACGTGACGAACAGATGAAAGAAGGTTGGATGATTAACTGTAAAGATAATAATAAACTCTATTTGCGAGTATGAAAGTATCCAGCAGTCAAAGATCCCTCTGGTAACAGAGCACACAATAAAATCATTAGGGAAACAATTCAAAACAAACAGATCAGCAATGAACACTTCAACACGGTATTTTTCTTCCAGACAAGAATTACATTGGATTAGAAAACTGCAGCCCTCCCAGTAAGGGATGATGCACACCAACATGTACCAGTTCCATTTGTTCACCCCCACCTTCTCCTTAAAATGAAGACGATATATGGAAATATTTTTAGTCACAGATCGCCCTTTATTTCCCACATTTACAGTTTTCACCATGTTTCCAGAAATACGCGTTAGGATTTACCTCCCTCGCCGCCTTGTTGTTCGTTGTCTTCTATTCCCTGTTGGTTCGGTTGCTCCCCATCTCCTTGGCGTTTTAAAGAAGAAAAACGAAGAAAAGTCAATGATCGAGTAGTTCGTACAACAAATGAAGCGACCAATAAAAGAACGAAGGAGCGAACGAGTGAATAAATGATTGAATGAATGCCTCCATGCATGCATGAGTGAATTGATTTATGAACGAGTGACTGAATGAATCAGTCAAAAACTATATTTGCAGCAATCTATTAGTTTACACTGTTGTTCGGTTTATTTCTTATGAGGAGCTGTTAGCTGTATTTTTACTTCTTCAAATATGTGATAATTACATCGCACCTTCCTGATCACGACCACAGCAGGTGAAAACGGTCTTCAAGTAGTTCCAAACTTTTTCCATTTTGTTCTTCAGAATGCCTCTGACCTGGATACGCAATAGCCAAAAGTAATCGAGATTTCGCTCACTTCCTTGAACTGGGCTCCGATGACAAAATAGAAACTAACGAATTTCTCCTGTGCAGTGCTTTTAAAACATTTCAATGTCAATTGCAGGTAAAGAGAGCAGCCTTGAGCAAAATTATACACTGCTTCGAGTCGGCTGAAAACCATTACCCTTCCTGTAACTAGCCATTATTAATCTACTTACGGATCTAATTTATTATCTTGATTACTTATAATGGATTAAAAGCGCATAACTACCTGTTCTGTTGAAAAGGTGTACAGGATAGGATTCAAGGCCGAGTTGATCGGAAGGACAAACACAGCAATCCAGACAGCGAAGTCTCCTTGCGCTTTGTAAGACTTCTCGATGATGGTCCTCATACCAATCACTATCACCGGCATCCAGCACACACAATCACTCAGGATGATGAAAAACACCCGCCTGGCAAGAGCCGTTTCCCTCCTAAAGTTTGCTCTTCTGGCCTGGATCTCTCTTTCAGTACCCTGACGGGCCAGTCGCCGGCTAGACAAGTAAGACTTGACTAGTATCATGAGATAAGCACCCATGATGAACAAGAAAAAAGCAAAATTCAAAGCGAGAAAGATAGCGACAGAATACTCCCAACCTGCCGGCTTATCAGAAGTAAGCTGCAAGGGCAGACATACCACACTTCTACCATAATAACTATGGTACCTGAAAGGGTCTTCAAAATACTGAATACCAAACATGGGCAAAAAGGCCATAAGGAAGCCAATTGCCCATATGATGATGCATAGGATATGTGTTGCCTTTGGTTTCAGAGAAGCACCCTGATAAGGAAACACAATATTTTTAAGCCGATCAGCAGATATCAGAGTCATCATCATAACCGACACCTCACTTGACAAGAGGGAGATCGCTCCAATTATTTGACAAGACAAACCAGACCTCCACTGGAAGTCATGCAAGTAATACTCTCCTCTCCACAACAGATCTTTAGTGCCAATAGAGACCAGGTAAATACCCATCAAACCATCGGACACTGCTAAGTGGAGCAACATGATAGACTGTACCACGTTCTTTTCTTTAAAGATTACTCGCCACGTGATAACAAACACTGCACCAACCAGAGAAAAGATTCCTATCGCCCAGATACTCTTTCTCGGGGCAGAATTCTTAAACATGCTCTCACAGTTGGCAAAGTCGTCGTTATCAATGAAAGCACATTCAGCGTCCTCCTTGTGCATATGACAACACATCAGATTTGTGTCCAAACTCCTGCAACCGTAAAATTTGATGCTATTCAGTTCATAAGGATAAATTGAAAGATAAAACCAAAAGCCTATACCCTAAGAGCACAAAGGTAACGCGAGATCAGTCCATCATAATTCATTTCCTCATATGGGGGTTTTTGTGACTATGAATCTTCATTGAATATGTTCGAAAATTTTTCTTGCAATATTATAAAGCAATGTAGTGCGCAATAGCAGTCTTTGTGAGGCGTATTACCCAACAAAATGGAGTTGTTATAAAAGTCGTCGATAGGGTAAGAATACCGACCATAGATATTTAGTAAAGTATAGAAACCACTAACTCATTTGCCTAAAGCTCTGGGCTAGTAAATATTTGAATTAAAGGAACCCCCAGACGCTTTCTATTCATATAGCTCAGCTAATAAACTGTAAATGTATCAAATACGTCACATCAAAATCTTACACTCGTAATATATCCTTCAACTCTTTAAAAAATCCGTAGGGAATCTCCCTCATGTAGTTATAATGCAAATATCTGAAAATTAGATATTTAAAGACAAGAATATAAGGATGAAATCAGTGAATAGAAGAGCATTTCTGGAGTATTGCTTCAAACTTAGTATATCGATTTGTGCTTTTTTAACTCGCGGATACGCGATAGCGTAGAAACGAGTTGTTGTGGGCACTTTAGGATATGCAAATTAGCTTGGACTCTTCGTAATTAGTCGCAATTAGTCGCTCCGAATTCGAAATCTATACTTCCGAAGAAGTCCGAAGTCCTAACGCCATTGTGATTGCATCGATCGCTGCAAAGTTTATTGTCTTGACACGGCTGTTTCGACATTTACTAAATTGAAATGGACTTCGAATGTTTCAGATTAGTGCTAAGATCAATATCAAGACCAAGTACGAAGGGTTTTCGAATCGTCCATGCACTGAACATAACGAGGAGCAGCGAGAATCACGAAGAGTTAGTGAGTGACAAAGCAAGCTGCTGACATTGAAATTCCCACGGATACATGTACTCATGACAGAATTAAAATGTTAATTTATAGTATTATTTCTTTCGTTTCAGGGATTTTTTTTTGGACGTTTCGGCAGCTAGGCCAATTTCGGTCTTTTCGTTATGGTCGTTTCGTTTTGATGTTTTCCTAAGCAAACGTGACTGTTTTGATGGTAACAATGAAATATCATTTTATGATTGGTTGCCGAGCACATGACCATAATCTGGCCGGTGTTGTTTTGATCACTTGACGATCTTTGTCGCTCAAAACACACGACGACTATTTATTTCAAGGAATGCTTTCCAGTTAATTTCTATCGCATCCGTGTAAATAAATACAAGCATATGCGTGTACTGAAGAACAAAAGAGAAATTCAAAACTACAAGAAATTGCGAGTAATCGGCCTCTCCTGCTTCACATGGGTTTTTTGGTGTAACACGGGTGTGTTTCCCAGAAGTCACAAGCACTTTACGCACGTGGGAATGCTGCAATCACGGTCTGAGTAGTGAAAGGTAGAATGGTTACTGTCAACCTGGAGTGATTATGTGCGATATTTTGCTTCATCACTCTTTGCCATTTCTACCACATATTAATTCAGAGAGGGGGACGGGGAGGCGGGGGGGGGGGGGTGAGGGTTGAAATTCCTAGAGATGGGCGAACAATGTGCCGCTGGATAGGGTCGCACTTTCACGACTGCATTAACTTTTACGGCGTTGCATTTTCAGCTATTTTCAATAGAGATACTTGAATGGGGTTACACATTTTTGAGATTTTAGGCGTAAGAAAATTATGGCAAGTAAGGATTCATTAGGAAGAAGATTCATGGTAAAAAAGTTGTTACCGTATTTCAATATTTAATAAACGGCTCCCAATCCATTCCGGTCTCGCCCAAAAGCGGACAAAGATGGGGTCTATAATTGGCCACAACATGGGCTGAAATACGGCAGAGGTTCTGAGAAGCCAGCTGCATATATCCAGTAAAAAATGACTCATGTACCTCCCCCCGGGGGGTTTCCATCACATACTCAAGTGCTATAATTTCTATACTTGCAATGGTTCTACTTTCTATCTTTTTTTAACACCTTAGTTTACTGATAGTAACTTTACAAGCACATATCTCTTTAATTCTTTTTCCACGAGTTGGCCACAGACGCCCTTTGATTATTTTCTTAACTGAACCTTTGATGGCAGTCAGTGTCTTTCATAATTTGATTCTAATTTTATCATTAATAAAAATTAAACACTCACAGAATTTTTAACTGCCTGATTTCGTTGAAGTTGTCGATAGAGACTTTCCTCAATTCGTTGTCAAAGAGTTCTCTTACAAAAAAGATGAAAAGAAAACAATTAGCTATGATATAATTTTTGTGCATTGATGTACGCCTCTCAAACTGATAAGTACGATTATTAGAAGGTACTGAGATACCACTTCGATCAAATTAAGCACAAATGAATTTCATATTCTACTTACAGAATCTCAAGCTCCTTTAGGCCTTTGAAAATTCCTTCTGGCAAATTTCTGAGTTTGTTTCCCGACAGATAGCTAATGAGGAAAGGAAGAAAATAAAATGTATGGCGAACTTCAGGAATTAAAGAACGGGACATCGATGACATTTTTCATAAGTAGCAAGAAAATTTACAAACATTTTAAATGTAATCACATACATTTTTTTCAGTTTTTTGACTTTTCGAGAGGAGCATCGTCGTTGCAGGAACTTCATGAACAAGTTGTTACTGAAAATTTGTCTACATTATATCTAACCCGGCTTATAGGTTTTCCAGCAATCTCCACAGACCCTCCGCATGCATTTATATTATCCATTCAGGAAAAACATTGGGAAGTTGTGACACAGGGCCTTAAATTTTCTTAAATATGGAAAACGTGATCGGTTCAGCGTTTTCTGCAGGAAATTGCGATGAGGAAAAAGTCTGTCAATCAGTCAAAGTCAGCTTACATGCAGAAACCAGACCCATAGAAAACTGAATCATACATAAAATACTTACAGCTCAGACAGCTGTGTCAGTCCGCGAAATTGTTTTGGATGGAGCTTTATTAAATTATTTTTCTCTATTTTTCTGTTAAATTGTGAAACAGAAACCTGTTAGTGACCAACCTTCTTCTTAATTTGAAATTTGAATCGGTTCCAACGTATCTAGCGTGCCTTTTGATTACGATTTCTCCACCCCAAGCCAAAGTAACCTCAACAACCAATTAAAAGGAAAAAAAATTGATGACAGCACTTGGTTTTAGCTTTGAATCCAATTGGTTGAAAAGGCGGCGCATGTTTTTAGATTATTGATAGGGGTGATGAAAGCAAAACGAGAGCAATCCTCGATTAATTAAACTGATCCATCCTAGACCTCACATAGCTCTAAAATCGTCCAGTTCGAAAGCAATTTAAACATGGTCACAATTCTTTTCCGTAATTTGACATTCAGGATCTTTTATAATGTTCTCTTACTGTTTTATTTCCCAAATCGATAAATCAATCAATCGACTGTCAGCTAATTAATATTTCAAGATTTCCATCGCTACTCACAATGTCTTAAGCTTGGTCAGGTTAACAAATATCGTTGATGGTAATTCTCCAATTTGGTTTTTGGATAAAAACCTGCAAGTACGAAACAGTAAGCCAGATATTGACGAATGATAGGTTTCAGTATGTGGAAAACATCTGTCATTTGCGTTTAACGGCAAAACAAAATGGTTCCCGTAGCTTACGATTGCAACTGGTAAGATTGACGGTAATTTTTCCAACGCAAACGACAGAAAGATATATCATTGGCATTCATTCAGTGGGATACATTTGGTGAACATGTTTAATTAGATCAAGTGGAGAGACATAATTTGATAACATTAGTGTAATTAAAACTCAAGTTTAAGATCAAAACGTCTATTTCTTGCGTTGTGAATTCAACCCTTTAACTCCCATGAGTGACTAAGAGGGAATTTCTCCTTACCGTGTCAATGTATTATCAAGCAGACAAGAGAATAAAGAAAAATAGCGATCAGGGGACTTTTAGTTGATCCAATACCAAATTCTCCAAGCTAACATCATAAAAATTGTACGGCAGATAGTAAGGAGAATTACTGATGAGATCTTGGGAGTGAAAGGGTTAAGACAGAAATTGAGAAATTTTCGCAACTCGAACATGCTTAGGATGAGAACCGCTTTCCTTGTCGTGGCTGTTTTTGTTTTGTAATGTTTTTATTGTTGACTTACAGCTTTTCGAGATTTGTTTGGTTGCTAAAGACGTCTTGTGGCAGATTCTCAACCGTATTTTTAGACAGATCCCTGAAAATTTCAAGGGGAAATGCATTAGAACTTTCAGAAAATTCAGAAAAAAATAACATCAGTCGGAATGTAATTCACACGAAAAGAAGACAGTATGAGGAAACTACCGCGGAGGACCACGCATTGGTCAGTTCAGAACTCAAGGGGGAGGGAAAGGTAGAGAGAGAGAGAGAGAGAGAGAGAGAGAGAGAGAGAGAGAGAGAGAGAGATGTGGGAGAGAGTTTATTGAAATATTCAGATTCGCGGCCTCCTAAGGCTGAATTACATGAAATTTAAAAAAAGTTTAAGTCATATGTACATTCATAAAATAATAACTTCACGTAATATAAAATGATTATAACGCATAAAAATTTCACTAAATGGACATGGATGGAACAAATATGTTCGTGAAACGACTAGTGCTAGCCGGGCTCAAATTGTACCTCTGAATACCCTTGGGTGGTAGCAGATGATGGAGTTTATGCGCAGTATTAGATACGTCTGAGTGAAAGAATTTATAGCCATGTTTTTTGCGCCTGTATTTCAAACTTCTGATGTTAGAAAATGCTCGATTGTAATGATATGGAATGCCAGGAGAAATAATGAGAAAGTGCCCATTTCTGATCACGCTTAAAGTGTTCGCTTAAATAAGTAGGTAATGCAAGGGGGCACAATACTCTAACATCAGCTTAATGCAGGTAAGATATAAAAAAGCACATGATATCATGAGCCGGAACACTCTCTCGCTTCAGCAAGATCAAGAAATGTGTGAGCTAATTGGCCCTTAGCAATTCCATTGAAAGTTATTAGACGTGGTTACCCCTGATATGTGGTTTGGGCAACAAGTTCAAGGTCCTTGGAGTTGACGGTTACGGCGTCGAACCGGTGTTTGTTCTCTTGAAGTCAATAATCAATTATTTGCACTCATCTGAGTTCATCTGAAGATTGTTGTAAGCTGACTACTGCTTTACTGCTGCAAGTTGCAGCGCTTTGGATTGCACTTCGACTACCTTTAGGGAGCTGAGACCATGCAGCGCAAAACATTTTGGAGTAATGCCGAATTGGCTCGGATCGATCTTCTTAGGGTACCCAGGCCTACGTAGATACTTGCACAGCCAGCTCTGACAGAGACAGGGTTACCAAGATTGGTCTTATATGCTTAATAATAGCAGTGGCTGGTTTCTCCTCAGGCAGTGGGACTACGTCAGCATAGCAAGTCGATGAAATTCCTACGCTCTCACCATCCGGTTACGCTGCCTTCCCTGATGTTACTACGATATAATCGCTCTCAATTATAATTTTTTTAAACGACTTAAAATAGGCCCATCATGTGCTTTTATAAAATCAGTGAACATTCAGTTATGATCCATCAAATGTCTTTGCTTGCGCACGTTTTGTATAAACGCAACCCCGCTGCAACTTGAGGGGATCTCTCTTCGAATACTTCTACCATTTAAAGGATGAGTACATTAATATTGAAAGAGTCCATTTTTTTTGTAAACATAACTCTTTTTATCATACTCACAACTCTTTCAAATAAATCAAATATTTGAAAACGTGTTTAGAAAGCTTTCTGATTCTGTTGTCTTGCAGCCATCTGATATAAAGATAGAATAATACGGCAGTGATAGGTAAATCTTTTCACATCTTCCAATTATGTTGAGTTTTCCAAACTAACTTCAAAACCACAATATTGGTAAACATCCTGACTTACTGGCATTTTTTAAACGTTGATTTCTGATAGTCTCGATAAGTCTGGCTCTTATTATTTTATTAAAGTTACTGGAACATCCTTACTGCGTATTATCTTGCTAATTCATCCAACAAACATGTAATAACTAAGGTATAAAATTATGAACTCCTACAGCAATATTTTTGTATGTTTCCTTTTTTTCTCAGTAAATTATTATTTTTTTCCATTTTTTTCATTCTGCAGGTGTCCGATTTTTCACACAAACAATTTAAACTTTTATCATTTGGTATACTGAAATTTTTCTTTTCTTTACTCACAGGTGTGTCAATGCTCTTAAACCATCAAACAAACCCTCCTGTAACTCTTCTATGTCGTTATCGTTAAGTTGTCTGTAGAGGAGAAGAGTTAAAAAGTGTTACAATTAAATTGTTTGAAATTTGGCAGAGACCTAACAACTACTGACTTCGAAAGTAATTTATTCAGCTTAAATACGACCCGTGTTTTAATTTGCGACTCAAAACAGATTCACACGATGCTTAGCTTTTGAGGTACCTGATCTTGTTACCCAGATCGTGTCTACTGTTAGATTAAGCCGTTATATCTTTGATCATTGATTGCGGGCGTTCGTTATCGGTCTGTGTGTCACGCAGATATTGGGTTGAAGGATGTGATCGATGAAAAGGAATATGCACTATTAGAATTATGATGTGAGTTGTGACGCTTGTAATAGTAATAATAATGATACACTACCAAAGCCATGTAGACAATCGCTACAAACGGAGCTTGCTGAAAACTATGCTGGATCGCGCACACCGATTATCTTCCTCCTGGGCCCATTTCTCTGATGAGTGTGATCGCCTAAAGAAAGTTTTCGCACGGCTTAAATACCCGGGGCGCCTGGTAAATTCTACCATTAACACCTTCTTACAATCAAGAATTGTTGGTACGCAGCCCACACAGACGCCCAAAGAACCAATATCCATTGTTCGTGTGGTCATACCTTTCAAAGATCAAGAATCAGCAAATTATGTTAAGAAAGAGCTCAAGAATCTTAGCATGAAGGTGCAGACAACTGTCCAGCCAGTATTTGTTAGCCGCAAAGTAAGCCAAGATCTTAAAGTACGAGAAATCAAGCCACAGATTGTCAACCAACAACGCGTCGTTTATCAATTTCAATGTGACCTGTGTGATGCGGGTTATGTGGGCTATACACGCGGACACTTACACACACGCGTGGATGGACATAAACGAAAGGCATCTTCAATATATAAACACTACCACGAACAGCACAGCGAAGTCCCGAAAGACCTACTGAAACGTTTTAGCATTCTGAAAAAGTGTAGTAACAAGTTCGATTGTTTGGTGAACGAAATGCTTTTCATCAGAGACTTAAAACCCACTCTGAACGTGCAAAGCGATTCAATTCGCGCAAAAGTATTTGTTTAATTAGCTCGTAACATATTTATGCTAATTTAATGTTACACTTTGCCACAAACTTCATTTTTTATTTCTCCTTGACAATGGCGTCATGATGACACCGAAACGTCGGTTTTTATCGTTAGTTTTTGCTAGTTATTGTAAATTAGCAGGTAAATTTTGTTCCTCTGCAATGTAATGGAACATGAAAATTAAGCCATTCAGATATCTGGCAAAATTCAGGACCATGATATGGCGATAAAAGATAAATTTTTTCCTTCTAAACAATTTGTGAATGTAACAGGATTGATAACTTTGAAAATGAGATTGAAACCAGGATTTGTTAAATTGTGAGCTGGGATATTTTAGTTTTGTATTCCACCAGTTTGTATTTCGATGTTTTATTCGACCACTGCTTTACTGCTGGATGTTACAGTTGCACTTCGACTACCTTTGGGGTGACGAGAGCATGCAGCGTAGAGGATTTTGGAGTATCTGAACTTGTTACCCAGATCTTGTTTGTTGTTAGATTTAGCCGTTATATCTTTGATCATTGGTTGCGGGCGTTCTTTATCGGTCTCTGTGCTACGCAGATATTTAAGGGTTGAAGGATGTGATCGATGAAAAGGAATATGCACTATTTGGATAATGATGTGAGTGGTGACTGCAGCTTAATTAACTGGGACAATGCATTGCTGGTCAAATTCTTGATCTTGTTGCCGTGTAACCAACTGTAAGGTAAGAAAGCTTTTTTTCAACACGCCTTGGTAAAGTATAAATCTTGTTCGCATTTGACTGTATTATTGGTGTGAAAAGAAGTGCGAAGTGCAAAGCCTGTTCTGAGAGAGAACACTTGATAAATAAAACAAAGTTATAAAAGGAATAGAAAATGGAATTTACTAAACGTGGACAAACGTCAGACGCTAAGATATGATAATTTATGAAACTGAAAGGATTGTGTAATTAAGGCAGGTTACTCTTTTCTGTGTAACTCCGTCCATCTATGAACTGTCCCACTCTCTTCCACCCTCTTCATGGCTGACTACACCTACCAAGCTTCAGGATCTTCTTGATCACATTTAGGTAATAATAAGATTAAACTTTCTTTCTTTCTTCTTGAATCTTTATTAAGTCATAAGATAAATAATCACATATCCTATGTTACAACATTAAAAGAAGGCATATATATAAATTACAGAGAAAATCAAGATAAAAATTATAAGACTAGATTATGTTTAAAAATTAAGCGATTAACAAACGTGTTTTTGAACCTATCAGTGTTTATTTTAGGATGGTGACTTGTCTCTTTCCTCAGATTGTACTTGGTTAATTCTTATACTCTTGGAACATCAAAGGCTATTATCAAAACAGGCAGGTTACGTACAGTGAGATCAACTCAGTGTTGTTATTGAAGACTCCAGGTGGCAGCTCGTTTATCTGGTTGTTACCCAATTCCCTAGGAAAAGATATTCCCTGATTTCAGTTAAAAATTGTTGCTATTGCAGGTTTTTTTAATCTATTTTCTGTTGGTTGGACAGTAATCGGTTTGTGTTTTACACCATTATCGTCATTATTATTCGTTTCGACACGATCACGCAATAGTTATTGTAAAACAACCACTCTTCACTTATAGCCAGTGCAGGTTTAGTAATTCAGCAAATAAATTACTAGGCAGCTTTTTTTTATATTGTATCGGCCTAAAAATCTGTAATTGCTAATAAAACATTCTATTACATAATAACGCATAACGTGTTTAATTACTTATATTGGACAAGGATATTTTAGTGGACATAACCTAACCCCTCTCGAGAAGGGTATATCGACTACTGAACTTGTTTGGTTCACGTCGTCGAGGTACCCAATCGTGATGGAACCCCAGTCGCTCACATATGTATCTTCTAGTACTCTAGATCAGTGGTCAGCTAAACGTTAAGGTTCCTCTTTCAACACGATTGTGGCTTGACTTATTAGTAACTAAATCATTAAACAGCTTGTTGTCGTTGGATAATATTTGAGTATATTAGAATTAACAAGAATTTGGGGAAGGATTTTACAGTAAAAATATGTAGGTCGACTATGACCTTTTAGTCTTCCTACTCACAAGTTGAGCAACTTGTTGTTGTTACTGAAGACTCCCGCTGGTAGCTCCTTTATCTTGTTCCCTCTTAAGCTCCTACAAAAAGGATACATGATGGGTTTTAGTTGAGCATTTTTGAAATACCTTCCATTGTTGGAGAGAAATTGTACATCGGTCAATTAACAGGTTTGCAATATAAAAAAGAAATTTCCCTGACTAGCACCGTCCATGCAGGAAATCTCCCATATGCAAATAAAACAAATAAACTCAGAAAAACAGAATATATAATCGTGAAAAGCATTGAGATTAGTTATTTACAGTACGACCAACTGTGGGTTGTTATGAAAGACTTTACGTGGTAGCTCCCTATTTGGTTGTGGCCTAAGTCCCTAAAATGGTTGAACAGCTGCTGACATCACCATTTGTAAGCGCTCGCATGGTTGCAATAGGAGTTGTTGTGAGGTTCCTACCAATAGTGCTGCTGCACGAGCCTCAACATTCAGAGATTGGAGAAGGATTTTACAGTAAAAATATGTAGGTCGACTATGAACTTTTAGTCTTCCTACTCACAAGTTGAGCAACATCTTGTTGTTACTGAAAACTCCCGCTGCTAGCTCCTCTATCTGGTTCCATCTTAAGCTCCTACAAAAGGATGCATGATGGATTTTAGTTGGGCATTTTTGAAATGCCTTCCAGTCAGATAACGGAAACTACTCAGTTAGAGAACCTCTCCACACAAAGGTAGTCTGGAGAAGAATTTTACAGTAAAAATATGTAGGTCGACTATGACCTTTTAGTTTTCCTACTCACAAGTTTTGCAACTTGTTGTTGTTACTGAAGACTCCCGCTGGTAGCTCCTTTATCTGGTTCCCTGCTAAGCTCCTACAAAAAGGATACATCATGGATTTTAGTTAGGCATTTTTTAAAATGCGTTCCAGACACATAACAAAAACTACTCGGCTAGAAAACCTTTTTCTCACAGAGTTAGTAAGTGACATAACTCTTCGAAAATGGCGGGTGAATCGAGACCAAACTAATAGTAGATTTAATGTTTACTGGTTACTTACAAGAAGGCCAACTCGGAGTTGTTTTTGAAGACTTCAGCTGATATCCTCTTTATCTGGTTTCCACGCAAGTTTCTACGACAACATTCACATAAGATTCAAAATGGTTTTTTAACGTTTTCTTTGCAGTTTGTGCCATATTTTTTCCATGTTCATCATCATGGTGGGTCCTTGCACAGTAATCGGTTTGTGTATTACACTATTATCGACATTATTATTCGTTTCGACACGATTACGCAATAGGTAATGTAAAACAACCACTCTTTATTTATAACTATTGCGGGTTTAGCAATACAGAAAATAAATTACCAAGCAGCCTTTTGATCTTGTTTTGGCCTAAAAATCTGTAATTTTTAATAAAACTGCGTCATACCATTACATAAGAACGCATAACGTGTTTAAATACCTATAATGCGCAAGGGAATTTAAGTGTACATAACCTAATCCCTCTCAAGAAGGGTATACCGACTACTGAACTTGTTTGGTTTACGTCGTCGACGGATATAAACGTGATGGAATCATTCCCAGTCGCTGACATATATATCTTGTGGTACCCTAGATCAGTGATCAACTAAAAAGTAAGGTTCTCTGTCAAAACGATTGTGGCTTGACTCACTAGTAACTAAATTATTAGGCAACTTGTTGTCGTTCGATAATATTTGAGTATTTTAGAATTAACAAGAGTTTGGAGAAGGATTTTACAGTAAAAATATATAGGTCGACTATGAACTTTTAGTCTTCCTACTCACAAGTTGATGCTCGATGCTAGCTGAATTTCAAGAATCGTTCTTATTTAATTAGCCTTTTTTAAAATAAAATAAAAGAAACTTTCCACGATTTCTATGTAATTAGTGACATTCATACTCATAATCGAGAAGAGCGGTTTTGACAAGGCAATGTTAGAAGCTAGAATAGTGAAACGAATTTGAAAAATTCTGTCTAGATGTTATAAACTACTAAAATCACGTAGCCAAAAAATGTCACATTAAAATCGTCGGTAACATTTGGGAATTCGGTTCGTTTCTGTAGCTATGTTTAAGTTGCAAACAACTCACATGTAAAAGGCCCGTGGCTTTAAACATTCTCTGACAGAAGTCTGTTCAAAGGGCTCTTTACCTCACTTCAGCGGATGACTTCTCTTCCATTTACTTTGTCAAAATATCAGTGATTTCTAACACTGACAATGACGGTCATTTTCACCATTAGAGGTGTTAGAAGAGAACCTTTTTTTCCGAAAACGTATGTTAGATTCTTCCTAGTTTTCCTCAGAATTCTGAGGCCAAGTTTGATGCCAATTCTACTCCGGCCACCTCACAAAAGCCTAAAAGAAGAAGAGTTAAAACACTTACAATTTCGTTGTAGAAAAGGGCAAGTGCCGTGGTACTGACTGTAAGTGTTTTCCACCACATTCAATGCGAGTAGCTGCGCCAATGATTCCAACTGCAATTGTACATCGGCAGGGATCTGGGCACCCTAGAATAAAGCAAGACCATATAAATGTACTGACTGAAAGTTAATGAGGCTCTTTAGTGGTACTATCTGAATGTGTGCATTAGAATACTCTGAAATGATAGCTGCCATCTAGTTATCTCGTGAACGCTTCATACCATTCCAATGAAAGACAAAACAAATAAGTCATTAGGTCGACCAGCTGCACCACAGTTTCTTTTAAAACTTACCCCACTTAATTTTTTTGTGAAAAAAACTCACTTTCAATGACAAGACGGATTTCTTCTTTGTCAAGATCGTCCTGTTTCTTCACTTCACAGCTGTACTTGTCATCGTTTTCTTCAGTAATGGTCAATTGATATTTGATACTTGTACTGTTCTGTACCATGCTGCCGTTCTTTCTCCAAACTATAAATGGTGCTGGTGCACCCTGCGCTGGACACCAAAGAGATGAAGTTTGGTTGAAAAGAACAAATTGAGTTTTGGCCACCTTGTCTAGGTTTGGTTCAACTGGAAGAAAACAAATAAATGAAATTACCAAATGAGTTGGAGTACTCGTGATTGCCATCTATTCCTTCCGTGTTGCGACCACTTATTAACATTTTAGAATTGTTTCAGTTAGTAATTTCAGAGGACAATACCTGTAAAGTTGAGTGTTTTGTTGGTGTACAAGCCCCGAAACCTGCCAAAATCATCGAAATGATCTGATTTTCTGATCCACAAGTTCTGTCCACTGGATCGAACAATACCAGACATTTTCCCTCCGCAAAATACACCAAGAAGATTGGCAGACTTGCTGTATCCATCACGAACCTCAAGATACATATCATCAATGCATGGTGTTCCATGTGAAGTCTCCAAGCTGAAATTCAATTCCACATAATGTCCCTTTGGAGCCTGCAAAAGTTTACTTGAGCGGAACGATGGAACAACTCTCTGAAGGCGTACTTCCATTATTAGCGCAACTGCAAAATCAAGAGGAAACGAGAGCACAAAGTGGGAGATTCCTCGCCCATATCTTGAGAGAAGTCAATTTCACCAAAGCTATCGAAAGATAATGTTAAATGGCGAGAAGCTTTCGCGCGCTTAGTGGAACAACACAAATGCACAACGAACTTAACCTCAGTCGTTCTAAGCTCTTGGATATCGTTATTTAGGTATTGCTTTCCGTAGGATACGCATTTGATCCGCTCTTACCATGTTTTGGTTTGCAATTGAGATTTCACAAATGAAATTTTAATCGAACGCCCTTTTGACAGACGTACTGTTTCCATATCGAAAGTAAATCACATTACTGCACGGGCGCGCGTTTGATTCCGAACAACAACAGGATAGAAGTCTCTTTTAAGCGTGGATGAGGCGCGTTTTTTTTTAACGATTTTAGAGATGATTGTTTTTTAGTACAACTTAGTCAGTAAAAATTGAATGAGTTGAATCGATAATTGTTTTGGATTTTTATCATCTGCGCTGAATAGTAGTATCAAAATATAATAATATTAATAATTATAATATCACTTGCGCTGAATTATAATCATATAACCATGTCACGGACGTGGTCTGTAGCTCACGTGTTAAGTCGTGTTTCCCAGAGAGGAACGAAGATCGGACTCGACAAAGAGGCGGAAATCAACTTCGATACTGTGTTGTCTCAAAATTTACCAGAGATCGGCAACTTGAGTTTAGTAATTCTCTCTAGCAGAGGCTCTCCGCCGCATTTTCTCAGTGCACGTGCCACTCGCCATCTCACGAGTGCATCCTATGTAGGCCTGAATATTTTCGTTACATAAGCGGTATTCACGTGTGAGCAAAAACCAAAGGGTAACGATTTCTAATGCTTTGGAAATAAGATATTTAGTCCCTAAATTTGATATTCTGTTTAAAAAAACAACAGTGCTTACAGAAAGCAATACTGAAGCCCCAGAGGATCATTCTAGACGCCATCTTCCCGTTTTCAGCTGTTGGACACAGGGGAAGTTTGAATATTAAAGGTGAGTTTAAGAATTTGATTAAATAAGACATTTTTCGGCGGGTTAGGTGCCTTGTATGTTAGCTGAATAATCATAGATCAAAGATACCGAGGCTGTTTACCTCACAAAGTATTGGAAAACGACAAGATGCAGCTGTATCACAGAGAGCATATTATTTTTTCAAGTCACCGCTGCGCTAAACTGAGGCTTTAAGGAGAACTTCCTGAATCACATTTTAGTGCACTTGATAAAAAGAACAATTTACTACAGTTTAAAAATGTCCTAACGCCAGAAAGGAGGGGTTATAAAGGTCTTCTTTTAAAATTTACTTCCCGTCTGCCTTTACAGTTACATTTTCTCCAATGATATGATTCCGCAGATGGTTCGTTTATTCTTACCTGTATTTCCGCTTCTGTGAAGGCGCCAATAATAAACGTGTTACTGTTATTATCCAACCGAAGAAAGTCTAAATAATAATTAAAAAGTGGTATGCGAAGAATCAATAACTTATCCTCCCTTTTCTAAGGCTTAAGCGCAGGACTTGATAGCAGATCTTAGTAACTATGAATTTCTTTATCAGCCCTTGAAATAAAAAAAATATATTTAGTAATTCATAACTGTCTTGTTTGAATATTGAGGAAATGAAAATAATCGTTTGTCCTTTAATATTCAAAGATCCGCCCTTTACTCGGTTTATTGTGTCATATTATAGTGATGTTTAATCGTTTTTCTTCTTGTATCGACCTTTTAAACTTAAATAAATAAATACCTGAAATGTATTTTCGCTTGTCCCTCTCTTCGATTCAGATCGAGCGGCCTTTAAATAGCAATGAACTCATAAACAGAAAGCCGCCTTTTCCAGATCATTATCTTAGAATAAATATTTTAACGACAGCCCTGTCCATTCATTCCAAGTTACTATGGGTACACATTCTCTAACATCTGTGCAGCAATTGTGCTTTCAGCCAGTTTTGAATTTTTAGAAATATAATCGACATGATGTGAGTCACCAACACATTATTAAAGAAACATTAATCTGACAAACAAAAAGAACAACATTTTATCGAAAATCTTCTAAAATGTAAAATGCTGTAAGTGCTCGAAAAATTCTACCACCTCCCCCTCCCCTCGAGGAGGATGGTTTTTTCCGGGAAGTGGTCTGATTGGAGATCACAGAATGTGCCTTAAAGGGGACAAAAGTGGTGAAACCGGGTATCTGCAAATTCCTTAGGGATAACCATATCGAAATTAAAAGGGAAAGCTCAATACCAATTGATTGTACGTACTTTACTATTTCAATCTGACAAGCGTTAGACCGATATTTAACAGTTATTCATTGAAGTGGAGGTCAATAGTGGTGGATATTTGCCTGGCCGCAAAGCGGTGAGGTAAATATTTACAACTTTTAATTGTTTTGGTATATACAAAACAGAAAACAAAAAATATATTCCCGTCAATATATCAAAAAAAGTGTTAGAAATTAAATTGCTAACGCGCAAATTTGTCACTTTGGCTGCCCGGAGGTGAGTACTATTTGCTAATCACTTCAATCAGCGCACGCAAAAAGTACTTGTCACCTGTGTGGTATATACTAATACCTTATATATCTTATTACATTCGTGACTGTAATAAAAGACTCGATTCAATATTGACAAATAAACAGGACAAAAAAGGTATACCGTACCGTCCATTCCTCCCACCTACGAAGATGCCCTGTTATCTCTACCTCTATCAGATTCGATAATGTTTTTTTTGTTTTGTTTTTGTTTGAACCGGTTTCTTAAGAATTTTTAACTGAGATATCTCAGTGCGACAGTACGAAAAATGCATGCTTTGATCATTCTAAGGGTAGTAGAAGTGCAATCCAAAGCGCTGTAAAAGCGTTAGAGCAGTGGTCTGCTAACAACATCTTCAGTTGAACTCAGAGAAGTGCAAAGAATTGATTATTGACTTCAAGAGAACCAACACCTGTTCGACGTTGTAACCGTCAACTCCAAGGAACTTGAACTTGTTGCCCAAACCAAATGTTAGGGGTAACCATGTCTAATACCTTTAAATGAAATTGTCACGTCTCTGATGTAATCAAAAGGGCCAATAAGCTCACACATTTCTTTATAATGCTGAAGCGAGTAAATATTCCGTCTCATGATATTATGTGCTTCCATATTACCTGCATTAGGCCGGTGTTTGAGTGTTGTGCGCCCTTGTATCCCCGTGCATTGCGGTTTTTTTAAGCGGAGACCTAGAGCGTGTTAAGATAATGAAGAACCATGTTCGTATTTACATTGACATATACTTTGCGCTGTTCTCCTGGCTACTGTCAATAAATGACAGAATCACTTTTAAGTTAAAAACTCAAACTTCCTTTCCAAGTTAATCTTATCTAACGGCTAGTCACCTCTCTGTCGGTGGCTAATGGCTAGCCACCGACAAGACAAGGTTATTTGGAGTTTGAGTTGCCAATCAGAGAGCACCTACAGCGCTATCCATTGTTTTAGTATAGACCAATACACGATAGCTAATGCTCAAAAGAATTGTGTTAAAAAATTATTTAACTAGTATCATACAGTAGCAAGCAGCAACAAATCAAGTGTATCATCAAAGTTGTAATTTTTGTAACGACGAAATGTCGTAGGGAACTACCCATCGAGCATACCTCACTTGGAGAAAAGCACAAAGACTACCGAACTGTATTTTTTACTTTTTTATTTAATTAATCGATTCTCCAGTACATGATTCTTCTTACAGCCGAGCTTTTTTTATTCTTCGTAACTATGGTTAATTTCCAAGTCTCTCAAACTTTAATTCTCACCGAGAACTTCTTCTTCGACCGCAGATTTCTGACTCTACTCTTTCGCACACTGTCTACCCTCTTCTAGTCTACTCTTCTCTCTCTTCAATCTCTTCTAAGTAAACTGTGAAGAACTTGCCTATATACTCACTACTATGGTGGCCCACAAGTGTCACTGCTGCACACTGTAAAACAAACACCTTCCTGAATAAAGACTTGCTTCCTCTGTGAAATTGTTCTTATTTTCCATTCAAGTGTAAGCCTTTTACACGGAAATTGCCCTCCTCTGAAGAAATGAGCCCTCTCCGTAGAAATCAGCCTTCTCCTTAAAAATGAGCCTTCTCCTTAGAAATGGGCCTTCTCCGTAGAAATCAGCCTTCTCATTAAAAATGAGCCTTCTCCTTAGAAAAGGGCTTTCTCCGTAGAAATCAGCTTCCTCCGTAGAAAGCAGCCTTCCTCGTAAAAATCAGCCGCCTCCGTAGAAATCAGCCTTATCCGTTGAAATCAGTGTCCTCCGTAGAAATCAGCCTCCTTCGTAGAAATCATCCTCCTCTGTAGAAATCAGCCTCCTCCGTAGAAATGAAGATAAATCAAAGAACTGGTACCTAGCACCCAGGCTTCTCTCTGATAGCTGCTACCTCTCCCGCCATATTTAATAATGACGAACTTTTGCAGCTCCCGTGGCGAAAATCTGGGCTAGTATTCCACGCCGAATTATTGCCCCAAATGTGGCACGAAATTGCAGGCAGGTTAGTGATCCTATCTTTTTTTTGGCTTTTTTTGAAATGTTCCTGCATATTTCATATAAAGCCTGATGAACGATGATCGAGTAGGCCAATTAGCCTGCTCCAAGCAAGAGGCATTAACACCACATATTTCGGGTATTACATTTCAGTGTAGCTTGGTTTGGGTGTTGTCCCTGAAAAGCCCTCATGGGAAGTACAGCGGTCAATGAATATTATTTTCTCAGTAGTGTGTTGTCGAGGCCTTGAATCGCTGCTTTATTGTTACAGTATTAATTTAATTAAATGGAAAGACCAATAAGCATAATCCGGGTGCACCACACCTCAAAATGTTAGTTGTGATATTTGAAAATTGGCAATACCATGGAATTTTAGGGTACTTGTGCCACCAACAAGCTAGGTAGTTGTTATTGCGTCAATTTACGAGGTTTCTTTTTCAGAATTCAATGTGTTAGAGAGTGTTGTAATAGAAAAGTATTTCCATTTGGGTTATGATTACGAAACAATCACAGATCTGCTACAGGTCTACCATAGTATCATCATGAGAGTTTGCACCCTTAGACGAAGACTTCAGAGCTATAATCTTGTGGAAAGGCAAAATCAAGAGATTAATTTATAAAAAAACAAGCTTTTAATTTATTTCGATTTAATCCATTTAATAATGGCAAGCCCTGTTTATTTTTGAACTTTTATGTTTTAAGGCGTCGTCATATGATTTATGCTCACTAGGTTACTTCATTAAGAGGTCATTCCACTGAAAAGAAGATTTTATGTATACCTTAAAAGCAATCTCAACTGGGCATGATGGACTGTAAACAAATTCAAAATAACAGGCAATAGTAAACTTTTTCGTTCTCTATCTCAGATCATATGATGTTCCTTGGGAAAACTTTTCCTTTCTCTATCTGGAAATTATTAATTAATTTACACATGGATTTTTTTGATGTGAAATAAATAACTCTCAAGCGTAACATCATACAACCTGAAGTAGGACACCAAAGAAAGCTAAAAAAGTCTGGTAATGAGTTAATTATTTATACAATTATACCAATGATGCAAGTGAAGAGAGTTACGAAGATCCAGGCGTAAATTTGCTTTGACGTTATTTCTTCTTTCTTCAAAACGTAATATTTTATTCAAAAACTTAAATCGAACCAAAAATATGTCCGGTGCAGGCTGTATAAAAAATATGCAGGAACATTTCAAACAAAGCCAAAAAAGAAACTATCACTAACCTGCTTCCAATATCGTGCCACATTTGGGGCAATAATTTAGCGTGGAATACCGGCCCAAATTTTCGCCACAGGAGCTGCAAAAGTCCGCCATTATCAAATATGGCGGGAAAAGTAGCAGCTATCGCAGAGAAGCCTGGGCGCTAGATACCAGTTCCTTGATTTCTCCTCATTTTTACGAAGGAGGCTGGTTTCTACGGAGGAGGCTGATTTCTGCGGATAAGGCTGATTTATACGGAGAAGGCCCATTTCTAATGAGAAGGCTCATTTCTAAGGAGAAGGCTCATTTCTACGGATAAGGCTCATTTCTACAGAGGAGGGCAATTTCTATGCAACAGGCTTATACAGGAGCCCATTACTTAGAGCGTTTAACTCCCATATTGGGCTTATGTCACGGCGTTTTCACAGAACGGTTTATTTTTAGACCATCTTTTCGCGGGAAATTGGCTACTCGAATTCGGTTGGGTAATACGATCCATGAAACGCGAAGAAAAAAATGGCGGCCCTATGCGGGGACGTCTTCATATCAAAAATACTCAAATTCCGCCTTTCTTTTGCTATATTCCAGTATTCAAATCCTTCCTTTCCTTATATATCTTACCATCCTTTGCAAATTTTTCACTTTTGCAAAAAAATTCGCGGTAGAGCGGATCATCGTTTTATTTTTGAGTTGTCTTCATCTCAAGAACAGTCCGTAAAGGTCCGTAAAGGAAATTTTGCGACGCAGGATTTAACAGAAGCGGTGCAACAAAATGAAGAGAGTTTTCCTAGGTCGCTAAATAATGCTACTCTTTCGAATTGGGCTTCGATCTTGTCAAATCTTGGTTATTTTTGTGAAGTGCGGTCGATAATTGTCGTATGCGGCAAAATTCACGATGCCTTTTGTCGCTTTGATCATTGAACAGTCAAGAGTCAGATCCCTCTTCACTAGAACTTTCCTCGGAACTACTGCTTCCCGAGGTATTTTTAAAATATTCACACCGTAAGTGTCCCAAGCTCACTGTTATTCCTGTTATGTGAAGAGGTCAAGGCTGCGCACTTCGACATCGACCGTTGTATAACAGGAATAACAGTGACGGCAAAGCAAGCTTGAAACGGCAGAGAACGCCGGAAACCACAACGGACACAAAAGATGTGTATAAATTCTATTGATTTAACGTATAAAATGTTCATATTTCGAAATATTTATCGTTGTAAATCGACCATATTTCGTTCCCCATGCTATTCCTTATAACACATTCCAATTCTCAA